CACGGAGGACGCCGCCATCTTGTCGCCCGGCCGCCGACGGAGCGGGCCCCAAAGCGCATGCGCGGGGGGAAGAGGCTGGGCGGAAAGACGCATGCGCACAAGGCCTCACGGCGGGGGGGTGGAAAGAGGGCGTGCGCATGCGCGTGAGGGAAAGTGAGGCATGGCTGCGGGATGCCAGCTGCCGGGCAAGCACGCATGCGCAGAATGTGGCGCGGAGGGCGGCGGCGCCCCCTGGTGTGGGAGGACGTCGCGGCCGAGGGGGGCGGGGTCCCCAATCCACTCGGGATGCTGGGGGCCTGGGGAGGGCCCAGTCCATGGGGGATGCTGGGCTTCCCGGGGGAATCCCATCGCTGCAGAGATGCAAGGATGCAGGAGTGTCCCAGCCCAGCAGGGATGCTGGGGGGTCCCCATTCAGGGATTTGGGAGGTTACAGCCCAGCTGATCCCAGCAGGATTGCTGTGGTCAGGTCCAGGGGTGCGAACGGGGCAGAACCAGCGCCAGCGGCGGGGACAGGGAGCACCAGTGACCCGCACAGCGGCACATGGCTCCTGTCCTGCTGGAGCCCTTATCCCTGTGCCCACTGCTCGGAGCCACCCCTCCAACCCAGGGCCTCGCCAAGAGAGTCCAGGAGCAGGGGCCAGGGAAGGGCTAAAGGGGCACGGGAATTAAGGAACCACCCAACTGTCTCATCCGCTAATATTCCTATTGCAGAGCAGACTCTGTCCGCAGAGCAGCAATCATTAACAGCAGCGGATGGAAGCACCTCTCCGCTGAGGACACGTTTATTGGGGAACGTTCATCAGTTGCACAGTGCTTTAAAATCCGTGTTCAGAAACGCTATTTTAGTCCGCTGACCACCAACGCAGAGAGCAAACGCCCTGTGCCAGCGCGGGCAACATCCAGGGCAGGGGCATGTGCAGCAAGGGGCCTTCCTCCTCCTCCTCCTCCTCCTCTTCCGTGACCTCGGCGGGTCTCCCCGCGCCGCTCGCTCCCGGGGTGCCCCGCGCCGGGGGGACGTCCCAGCCCGGGGACGGGCTCACGCCTGAGGTAGCAGTTGCCGGGGCCGGCCGAGGGCAGGAGGTCTCCGGAGGAGCCCCGGGGCGCCAGGTCCCATCAGCAGCCCGGGCGCAGCCTCCGGACGGTCCCTCGGCGGCGGCGCTCCGGCGGGCCCGGCTCGCGGGCTACATCCTGGTGCAGGAGGGCACCTGTGGAGAGAGGGGGTGGCCGGGTCCCTGCAGCGCCCGCGCGGGGAGCGCACGGGCCGGGTCCCCGGGAGACGCGCGCGGGACGGGGACGGCGGCCAGGGGCAGCGCGGTGCTCACCGGGGCCGCTGCCCGCTGCCCGGTGACGTGCACCACGGCGTCGTGCACCGAGGCGAAGAACTGGTGCTTGGTGATGGTCTCGCTGAAGAAGTTGCCCCTCTCCAGCTGGGCGATGACGGACGCTGTGTGCAGGGAGAAGGGCCCGTCGCGGTGGCACCGTGGTCCCCATCCCACCCCAAACAGTGTCTCCCTTCTCAACAGAGGCCATCGCCACCCTGGTGACAGTCCCCAAAGGGGACCAACTGCACAGCCCAATGACACCCTGGTGGGACCAGGACGGGGAAGGGGCCACCGCAGGGCTCAGGATGGACGGGGGGTGGCTGCCCTGCATCAGCCAGGAGCCACGATCCGTGGGGAAATGCTGGGAAAGGGGTGTCTGGAGGTGCGGAGGCCGCCAAGCTCTCTCCTTCCCGAGGGGTGGCCTGGTGGCCCTGCAAGCCCCCTTACCTGGGCAGCCGCCAACGACGACGTCCACCTCTATCTCGCGGAAATCCCTGAAGACCTGCGGGCAGCAGCAAGCAGGGGAGCGCGTGTCAGCGCGCGGGGACCGGCCGGGCGGCCGCCGTGCCACCGCCACCCGTGCGGCAACGGGGAGCCTTGCTGCAAAGCGCCCGGCGGCCTCCTCCACAGCCCGGCCCTTACGTTCTTCAGGATCTTTATGGAGACGGTGTCCACGAAGTTGACGGGGCCGAAGTCCAGGATGACGGTGTGGAAGTCGGGCACGGGCAGCCCCAGGGAGCGCAGGGAGGGCTCGGCGGGCGCGCTGCCCTCGGCTCCCTCCGGGCTCAGCTCGATCACCGCGACGCCCGGCCCGTTGCGCTCCTCGGCGTCCTGGCGGGACGGAGACCCGGCCTCAGCGCACGGCGGCCGCAAAGCGCCCCGGAACGCTCTGGGGCTCGCACAGGGGCTGCGGCTGCGTCACGGGGAGGCAGCGGCGCCGGCTGCATCCCGTGCGCCGCTCCCGGCTCTCGGCACGTGCAGCCTCCCCGGCACTGCCCTGGCTCTCCCGCTGCCGAAACCCGGCGCCTCCGGCCTCCCGCTAATGGCTGTCGCTGGAGCCAGCGCCATTAGCTGTTTTGATGATTAACTCACCGGCTATTAGTGACTCACCGGCTCTTCCGCACAATCATTAACAGCCTTGGCCTCACCTGCTGACCCGGGACACGGCGCCGGCCTCGGGCCCGGCCTCCATCCCGCTCCACCTGGCCGCGCAGCCCCGGCTCACGCGGGAGCCGCTCCGGGAATCCACAGGGATGGATCCCGAGGCTCGGAGCCGGGCAGAGGGCCCCGCCGGCCGCCGCCCGGGGAAGCAGGGGGCCTGGGAAGCACCTTTTTGCTCTTAGCCTTCTGCTTCTCAGCTTTCTTCTGCTGTTTCTTCAGCTTCTTGAGGGCCTTCTTCTTCTTCTCGATCAGCCGGTCCACGTTGACGCCGCTCTGTGAAATGACGCAGCCCATTGCTGCCACCCGTGGGAGCTCCCCCGGGGACCCTTGTCCCCCATCTCCATCTCCCCGGCCAGCCCTGAGCGGTCCCGAGTGCCCCTGGGGCGCTGCTGTGGGACGTGGCACAGAAGGGGCCCGGCAGAGCAGGTCCGCGTGCGGCGGGGAGCAGGGCACGGCGCCCACCGCGGCCCCCGCTCGCCCCTACCTTCCTCTTCAAGGCCTCCATGTAGAGCTCCGCGTTGGCGAAGTAGATAGTGGAGGAGGAGCGGAAGATCCTCACGCCGGGGAGCTGCCGGGCCTGGGGGCGCGGGCAGGGTGAGCAGCCCGGCGGGACGGGGCCCCCGGGACACCCCTCCGGAGCCGGACCCCGGTTCGGTGCCTCCTGTGGCCCCGGTCTCCTGGGGGCGCCCCCTCTCCCGCCCCGCCAGCACCCCCGCGTTGTCACCTCCTTGCACTCGGCCACGTCCCTGTAGACGTCGGTGTCGGCAACGTGCCCCAGGACGGAGTAGCGGGGCCTGCGGGGGAGGCGCGGGGAGCTCGCGCCGCCCGCCGCTCCGTCCGCCCCTCGGGACCCCAACACCGCGGCCGGGACGAGAGCCCCGCGGCGCCCGCGGCTACTCACAGCTGCGTCTGGAAGATGACGGTGAGCAGCGTGAAGGCCACCGAGACGCCCAGGCCCAGGTCCAGGTTGAGCAGGAGGGTGGCCACGAACGTCACGATCCAGACGAGCTGAGGGGGTGACGGCGCTCAGGGGGGCACAGGCTCCCCACGCACACCAGCCCACCCACCACGCCACGATGGAGAAAGCCATCAGGTCCCAGCAGGGCAGCCCCGGCCTTACCAGGTCCACCCGGTTGGACTTCCAGAGCGTGCGGAAGTCGGAGAACTGCTTGAACATGCCCTTGAGGTTGACGATGATGATAGCAGCCAGGATGGCCTAGGAGAGACAGTGGGTTCCCGGAGCCGGGAGGTTAGGGAGGGCTGGTGCCAGGGGCTTATCCACGTCCCCTCGCACCGCGCTGGGCACCACGAGCGGAGCGGGAGCTGCCCCCAGCCCCACACGGCGCTCGGGGCGTTGCGAGCCACGGCGCTGGGGCGCGCAGGGCTGCCGCCCGTCGGGGTCTGCAGGCGCGGCAGCGCAGCCGGGCCCTACCTTGGGCAGGTCGCGGAAGAGCTCCCCGATCTTCAGGATGGTCACCAAGATGACGAGGGAGGCGATGACGCCGGCCACCTGGCCAGGAGAGCAGAGGTGAGAGGCGAGCGCGGCGCGCGCCCGGCACCCCGGCACCGGGCCGGGGGCAGGAGGGGACCCCGGCCCACCTGGCTGTTGCCCCCGGTGCTCTCCTGCACCAGGCTCCGCGACATGGAGCAGCTGATGGCGAAACACTGGAAAAAGCCGCCCAGGAAGTTGGAGAAGCCCAGGGCTATGAGCTCCTGCGAGGACAACAGGGGGTCAGGAGCGCGGCGCTGGCCGCGGGAAGTAAACCCTTGTTTTACCACGAGGAATGTCCCTATGAGAGCGTCACCTGGTTGCTGTCCACTTTGTAGCCGTGCCTCAGGGCAAAGATCTTGCCCAAGGAGATGCAGATGGCATAGCCCACCACGGCGATGGCGAACGCGTTGCCCACCACCTGCCCAAAGTACTTGATGTTAGGGGCCACGGGCGGCTTCAACCTGCAGCCGGGAGAAGGAGACGCAGCTGGAGAGGGGCCCCGTGGGCAGAGCAGCCCGGCCGGGCCGCCCCGGCCCCACTCACCCGCTGGGGATGTCGCCCACCACGGAGATGCCGAACTTGGAGTTCAGGTTGACGCCGTAGGAGATGCCAGTGGAGATGATGATCTGCAGGGTAAGAGCCCAAGTGAGGCAGAGCCTCTGCGTGGGGACCGTGTTGGGCAGGGTGGGCACTCACCACTCTAGAGCCGCCCTCAATGAAGCACCCATCCCACCCGCGCCCATTGGCCCTGGGGACACGACACCCCCCAGCTGAGCCTCCATGGGGAGCTCGGTACCGTGATGAGCTCGATGGGGATGGGCATGGGCAGCTTGGCGGAGAACTTGTGGTTGAGCTCCTTCACGATGAAGATGGCCACCATGGCAATGATGGCTGTCACCAGGGTGCCCACGTTGGTCTTCGGCAGCTTCTCGCAGATTTCAATGAAGGTCTAGCAGAGAGGCAGCAGGAGGCAATGAGATAAGGGCTTTGCTGGTCCCCCAGGTGCCCTTCCTCTTCCTCTTCCTCCTCCCATGGCTTGAATGGAGGCCACAAGGGTGGCACCATCCATCCCCACCCCGGCACAAACCCTCCCAGTCCAGCTCCCAAGTCGTGTCCTTAGTCACAACCGGGAGCAGAGGCAGATGCTTCCTCTGGCAGGTCTTTGGGGACCTCAGCACGAGGCTGAGCAGGGGGGACCCATGGGCTCCGCGTGCCCCCACTCACCATGACGAGCGAGAGCGGTCCCGAGTGCTCGCTCAGGGAGATGCCGAAGACGTACTTGAGCTGGGAGATGAGGACGTGCACCGAGGCGGCCGTGGTGTAGCCACGCACCAGCGGGTCCGAGAGGTAGGTCACCACGAAGCCGAACTGCAGGAGACCCAGGGCCACCTGGCAGAAGCAGCAGCAGGTTGAGAGCAGGAGCCCACGGGCCAGTGCAGGAGCTCGTGTTGTGGCCACGGCCGCTCCGCTCCCTCGGCCGGCGGCTCCTCAGAGGCGTCAGGCCGGGGTACCTGGAAGACGCCCACCAGGACGGTGAGCGTGGCCACCAGCTCCACGCGCGCCGCGTTCAGCCGCGCCTCGTTCACCGCGGTCTCGTTGGTGCCGTTCACGGGCTCCAGGAAATTATCGCTGGGCACCAGGGAGTCCGTCACGCTGCCGATCATGACAGAGATGATGGCAAAGGGGCCTGGGGAGGGGATGGATGCAGAGTGGGGACCTCAGGCAAAGGACCCAGCTCCAGAAGAGGTGGGCGCCGGTCCTCTCCAATGCACCCGCAGTGCTTCAGCCGTAGCTGTCCAACCCTCCATCCGCCGGCCCATGGTCACCCCTGCACGCGGACACGCAGCCCCTGCTCACCCACGGAGTTGTGTCTGGACGTCCCGAAGAAGAAGTAGAGGAAGACGGGGTAGAAGGAGGAGTAGAGGCCGGTGACGGGCGGCAGCCCGGCCAGCAGCGCATAGGCGAGCCCTGGGCAGCACGGGGACGTTAGAGCGGGAGGGACCACGGCGCCGGCCCCTGCCGCGGTGCCCGCCAGAGGGGACACTCACCCCAGGGCGCTCACCCTGGGGCAGGTGCATGATGCCCACGCTGAAGCCCGAGACGATGTCCCCCAGGAGCCAGTCCTTGACCGGGTAGCGCGGCAGCCAGCGCAGGAAGGGCAGGAATCGGAAGAGCAGGGACTTGGCGGTGGAGGCCGAGCACCTCGGGGGAAGGAGACGGAGTCGGGGTGAGCGCAGGTGGCGGCAGCGGGAGGCAGGGGCTCCGCGGCCGCGGAGGCGCCTCTCCAAGCAGGGCGCGCGGGACCAGGCTGCCGGGCTCAGGTTTGCCCCACCAAAGCCTGGCCCAACTCCAGCAGGAACCTGTGCAGATTGGGGCTGGCAGGAGCGGCGCATCCGCAGGGCTGCGCAGCCTGGACTCTGCCCCGCGGCTCCCTGCGCGGCGCCCGGGCAGCCCGGGCGCGGGGCCGCCGCCGCGGGGCTGGCGCACGATGCCCCGCGGCGCCGCGCGAGCCCTGCGCCCGCCGCAGCCCTACCTGATCTTGCGGAGGACGTCGCGGAGCGCGGGCCCGGCGGCTGCGCGCGGCGCCACCTCCTCCAGCTCCGCCTCGCTCAGCACCGCGTAGCTGGCGCGGGCGCCGCCGGCCCGGTGCCTCGGTGCCGGCTCTCCCGCCATGGCACCCTCGCTCGGACGCTGTGGGGACAGGGGCAACACTGAGCCACGTCCTGGCGCTCACATATCCCAGTGCCCGCACGTCCCAGTGCCCGTGCGTCCCGGTGCCCGCGTGTCCCGGTGCTCACACGTCCCGGCGCCCGCGCGCCTGCTGAGCGTGCGGGACCGGCTGCAGCGCGTGGAGCGAGCTCAGCTGGGAAGCGCTGGAGCCTCCGCAGCGGCGGCTGGAGAGCAGCAGGGGCTCGTTGGGCCCGCGCGACCCCGGTGCCGCCGCTGCTCCCTGCTCCGCGGCCGGGCTGCCGGGGCGGGCGGCTGCCGAAGCCTCAGCCGACCCCGGCGCCCTGCGCCGACCGCGCGGAGTCGAGGGCTGGGACTGCGGAGAGCCGGGCCCGGCCGGCGCGGCCCCTGCCCGCAGACTTTGTCCCTTTACACATGAGGGGAGCAGGAATTTTAAGCCCTGGTGAGTGTCACCGGCTGCTGGTCCAGTGGTGCTACCAGTCCCAGGGGCCTGTTTGCCAAGCGCCCATGTCTGCGTGCGCCGAGGGGCAGCGCGGGGACGGGGCGCTCCCAGCACCCGGCTGTCCTGAGGATGTGCAGCGCGGAGCAGGGTGCCGGCCCTGGTGTCCCTGTCCCGGCAGTGCCCCCCGCGGTGTCCCCGTCCCGGCAGTGCCCCCCGCGCCTCCTACCTGCTGCGCGCGGGCGGCCGGTCGCTGGCAGGCGGGCGTGCACCCTGCTCCCTCCTATTAATAGGTGCCCGTGATCTTTGAGACACCGCTCCCTCGCCCCTGCCCTGCGCAGCTGCTCCCGTGCCCGGCCGGGGCGGGGGTGCCAACGTTGCCAGGCCCCCCCGAGACACTGTGCAGCCAGCCCTGGCCACGGGCGCTGCCGGTGCCGTGGGCACCGCCGGTGCCGCCAGTGCGGCCGGTGCTGCCAGCGCTGCCACCGCACGGCCGGGCAGCCCTGGGTCGCAGTGGCCGCGCGGGGATGCGGCAGCCCCGTGGCCACGCTGGGGGCTGCCGTGGCGGCTCCCTGCCCCTGCACAGCCCCTGCATGGCCAGAGCGCGGCCAGAGCTGCCAGGCTCTGCCCCCAGGGCGCTGCTGGGGCCCCGCTGTGTCCCCGCTGCAGCCCCAGTGCATCCCGGCGCATCCCAGGGCATCCTAGTGCATCCCAGCGGCAGCGGCGCGGCAGGAGGCTCCCCCGGCTCCAGCTGCCGCCCCGGGCTCCCCGCCGCACGCCCCGGGCCCTGCTTACCCGCGGGAAATGGGTGCGCTGTGCCCTGTGGACTGCCCTGCTCCCCCTGCAGAAGCTGACTTTGCCGTTATCTTGTTCCAAAGTTCCCCGCAGGCGCCGGAGCCTCGGCGAACCCTCGGTGCCGCCGGGCAGCGCCACCGCGTTCGGAGCGTTTGAGTCACGCCTGGCCCCAGGCCCGCGGCTCCCGCACGCGGCTCCCGCATGGGGCTCCCTGCACGGGCTCCATCCCGCGCACGGTGCTGGGCAGGACGGAGCGGCCAATGGGTCCCGATCTCCGCTGGGATGGGTGGCGGCACCCAAAGGAGCTGCTGGGACACGGCCAGGAGGTGACACGTGGGGACCGCTGGCCACAGGGCTGGAGCACCCTGCTCTTGCCCCATTTGGACGGCCGGGGGCAGCCCGTGGCCTGACCGCCACCCTGGCCACCTCCACGGCGGCGGGGGGGCTGCAGGGACGCGACTGTCCCCGGCTGCCCCCGGCAGCTGCTGCCTCCCTGCGTTATCTGCTCGCTCGGCACCATAAAGGTTCCCGCGCGGTAGCAGCTGATAGTGCCGGGAATCGGCGCGGGCGCCCGGCCCGCCCGGAGGCTGCTCGGATAAGGGCGCAGGGAAGGTAGCCAGGGCGACCCTTGCCTGGGCGCGGGGCTCCGATCAATAGCGCCCTTTGCTTTGCCGCTCTTTCCCCCAGCAGCAAGAGGGAGGCCGGTCCCGCCGGGGCCCGCGCGACGGCTCCTCCGCGCCGCTCCGTCCTCTTGCCGGGATCAGGCCCGGAGGTCGTGCGGCTCCGGGACGGTCGGGTTCCCCCGAGCCCCCTTAACCCGAGCGCCGGGGCCTGCGGAGCCACCCCGGGCTGCCCGGCCCAGCTCCGTGCCCCACACGGGCACCCCAGTGCGCGGACACGGCCCAGACACCAGCACCTTTTATAGACTTTTATTTCCAAATCCGGCGCTTCCATAATACACTTGTACACAGCCAGGGAGGGAGCGCGGGCACCTCCCTGCCCACCGAACCGGGAGACGGAGAGAGAAAAATCCAACGAGAACCGAACCCCCCCAAGTCCCCAACCCGACGCAAGGCAAGGAGGCCGCTCCCGGGGCCCTGGCCACGGCCCTACAATCGCGGAGGGAGCCCTGGCCCGCGGGCGGCTCCGTGCCCGCCCGGCACGGCCACCGGCTGTACCGCTGCTCTCTCCTTTGGCACTTGGCGCTCGCGCTCCGTTTGGCACCAGGTTCCGAGCCCTGGCCCTGGGTGACAGGGCTGGAGCGAAGGCAGCGCGGTGGGAAAGGGGCCGCGGGAGGCCCCTCGGGGCTGCGGCTGCCGCCACGGAGCTGCCCCCGGGGGCTGCGGGGTGCCGGCCGGGGCCGGGACGCAGGCCGGGCTGCGCGGCCGCGGGGACACCTGTAAACGAGTGCGTTGGTGAAGGCGGAGGGGCCCCGCGGCCGCGCAGGCCCTGGGGCCGCCCGGCACACACGGCGGCGAGGCCTCCGTGCGCGCGGCCCCTCTGTAAACACGCGGGCTGGCGGGGAGGCGGCGGAGCCGGGGCTATAAGGCAGCGAGGAGCGCGCGGGCAGCAGCCCCGGCAGCACCGCGGGGCGGCCGCGCGGCCCGGGACGGCAGCAGGTGCCCCGGCCACGCGGGGACCAGGGCCGGTCCCGTTGGATGGGGCAGTGGAGCCGGGGGCTGACACAAGCATCCCGAGGGAGCCAGGGCTCCGCAGCCCATACGAGGCCGGGCCGGGAGCAAGAGCTCGGGCCGGGGCTGCTCCCTGCGCGTGGGGCCAGGGGTGGCCCTCAGCGGGGCGGCCCGTGGGGCGTTAAGGAGCACGAACCGCCCGCCCTGCGAGGCAGCAGGGAGCAGAGCTTCCAGCGAGGGCAGCACCCTGGCCCAGCACCAGCTGCCCGCAGAGCTGCCTCCCTCCCACGGGTGCTCGGGCCGCTGCTCCGCTCGCTCCTGCGCTCGCGGCCGGCTCTGCCCCTGCCCTCAGCGCCAGCCCACAGGCAGGGGCAGCACCGAGGGGCGCCCAGGGCAGAGGCTGTGGGGCGGGATGGGCTGCAGGATGCCCAAGGGCAGCACTGAGACCGGGGAGGGCAGCAGGGCAGCCAGGGAGGGCAGCAGGAGCAGCTGGGGTTGCCCCCAGCCCCATCGCCCCCCCAGCCCCTGCTGGCAGCCTGCCCAGCAAGGCAGGCCCTGGAGCCCCCAGGAGCGCAGGGAAAGGGCTGCAAGATGCTCCTGGGATCCGTAAAAATAACCATAGAATTTTCTCTTCTCTCTGCTTACAAAGGTACAAAAGGTAGAAAACCCTCCCCTGCCCCGGGCTCCTTGGCCACGCCGCCCGGCCCGGTAGGAGCAGGGGGCAGAGGAGGAGCGCGGCCGCGGCGGTGGCAGACGGGTCCCCGGCCCGGGCGGGCTCCTGCTGCCCTTCGCACGCGCAGGCCACGGGGAGCAGAGCCCGGGGCTCCCGGAGGCGGCTGGAGGGGCTGCCGGCCCCGCAGCCCCGCGGTTGGGAACGGCAGGGTTGGTTTCGGGCCTCTGGCCACCATCAGTTCTGGCCGCTGGCCCCTGGGGACACCAAACCTGCGCGGGCAGCGTCCAGCCGGGCGAACGACCCTGCATCTTCTGTCGCTCTCACGGGCAACTCGGAGCCCTCAGGAATGGCCCTCGCTTCTCATTATTCTTCTCGGAGGAAAAGAAAAAGAGTGTTTAGCCGCGGCGCTTGCCGCGGACCCCGCGCCTGCTGCCTCCCGCGTGGCTGCCGGGGCCGGGGCTCCGTGTAGGAACGGGCAGGAGCCGCCGTCCCGCGGGGCTGCTCCGGGCAGGCAGAGCTGCGGCCAACGCGCTGAATGCAGGGGAGAGGAAAGGGGACCGGGATGGGACATCAGCTGCGCTGGCAGGAGCCATGAGTGTGGCCTGAGCAGGGGCTTGGACAGGACAGACTGGGGCCGGGCTCCCTGAGTGCTCCTGGCCTCTTCCTTCCAGCCATCCCACCCCACGCACTCGCTTGCGGGCAGCACGGAGGGACGGGGCCAGCCACGGGGCTGGCCTTGCAGCACGGTGCTCTCTTCCCCGCGCGCTGCAGGACGGCAGCGAGCGCCGTCCCTCCTGGCACCGCTGGGAACGCTCCACGGCCCTGGCATTTCTGCTCGCTGCACTACAGGGATGCAGCCACAGCACGGGGGGGTCCCTAAACAGTCACCATGCAGGAGCTTGAGACGCCCGTCGCTCCTACACAGCCCTCCCTTCCCAACAAAACTCCAGAGGGCAGAGGGCAGGCAGCGGGACAGCACACGGGCTGTGCTGTGCAGAGGCCGGGCGAGGAAGGCCGCACTTACTCTGAATCTGGCGACAGCTCCGAAATGCTGTGGGAGGTGGTGGAGCGCGGCGTCGAGGGGCACAGCGCGGCGGGCGGCGGGGTCTGCGTGGCGGGGCGCGTGGCGCTGCTCTGCGGGCCCGAGGGCGTGCTGGAACACTGCACCGACGACAGGGCCGAGGAGTTGAAAGACGCGAGGATGGAAGAAAGGATATCCAGCTGCTCGGTGGAGGGGTGGCGGCTGGGGATGGCCTCCAGGTTCTCTCTGGACGGCTGCCTCCTAGAGAGCGGTTCTAGGCTTTCCCTAGACAGTTGTCTTCTAGAAAGACACCCCAGATTCTCCTGTGAGGGCTGCCTGCTAGGCACTGTATCCAGAGCCTCCCTGGAATTAGATCTTCTAGAGAGGAAGTCCAGCCGCTCTCTTGACGTTTGCCGAGCCGGCACTAGCTGGTCCCTTGACGGCTGTCTTCTGGAGAGCAAATCCAACTGCTCTCGAGAAGGGTCTCGACTTGGCAACACGTCTATTCGGTCTCTGGACACTTGCCGGCTTGGCAATGTGTTTAGCCACTCTCTAGAGACCTCTCTCACTGGCCCACAGTCTAGCTGCTCTCTTGACCCAAATCTGCAGGGTAAAGTCTCCAGGTGGTCCCTGGAGCCCTGCCTCCGGGGCAGCGTGTTCCCGTGATCTCTCCGACTAGGTCTAGGGACCAGCAGATCCAAGTTTTCCTTAGATCCGTGTCTGCTGGGAATAGTTTCCAGGTGCTCAGAAGAACCATGCCGGCTAGGGATGGTGTCCAGCTCCTCCCTGGACCCGTGCCGGCTGGGCACCACTTCCAAGCACTCTCCAGAATTGTTCCTGCTCAGCTGCTCCCGGGACATCTGCTTCCTCATGAGCATGTCAAGCTGCTCCCGCGATGAGTACCGGCTGGCTGGCTGGGACAGGCTGCCTGCCCCCGAGTAGATCCTGCCATAGGAGGCAGCAGGGACAGCCCTGTGGCCCAGCGTGGAGGTTTTGTACCACGACAGCTCGTTGGTCATCCTGCCGACAGACGGCAAGCCCTGCAGAGCCGGCGGGTACTGCAGGCGGTTCTTCAAAATCCCTGTGCCGCACAGAAAGAGAAGTCACCCGTTGGCAGAGCATGGAAAACTGCATGAAAGCTCAGCTGGGGGAGCTGAGCTGTACCCTGCAAGGACATGATATAACCCAGATCTTAGGAAGCCCTCAGGTCTGTGTGAACCCCCCAAGGGCCGGGCTGTGCTCGCCTGCTCGCTGCAGGTTGTTACCTTTCCTCTGCCGCTGCGTCTGAGTGAGGGAGTTCTCATCGCCACTGGTCAAGGCCAGGTCTGGCTGGTTATTGTTGGCTGCGTCCTTGTTGATGTCAAAGCCCAGCTTCCGCTCGGAGCCCCACTTCTGCAGGGAGCAGGGGTGAACCTCGCACTCGCCCAGAGCTGGCCAGTACGACATGAGGTCGTTGCCATCCACATCTGGTGAAGAGCACAGCAGAACAGGCCCCAGGAAAGAGGGAGAAAACAGTTCTGTGAGATGCAAACAAAGCACTGGAAGGCATGGCCTGGTCCCCGTGCCCAGGGCACCCTGCGGCACAGGAGACCGGAGCTCCCCCCTGCCCTGGCAGAGCGCCCGGGACCTGCCTTTGGGAGCGGTGTTGCAGGGGTTGGTGAGGAGCCGCTCGCTGTGAGCCGCCCGCTTGAACTGCCGCTGGAAGCGGCCCCGCAGCCGCACGTTCTCCTCGCTCTCCGAGGACGGGATGGAGAGGCTGCGCTCTTCATCCAGGGAAAGGTCGCTGTCCGAGTCCGAGTCTTGGTCTGCAGGGGCATGGGGTGGGGAGGAATTTTGAATGGAGGTCGGTGACATTTTTCAGTATAAATGAGGAAGGACGAGCTCACGTCTGGGAGCATGCACTGGCTAGAGTAAAACTGAGATGAGGAGGACCTGGAGGAGCGTGGCCCGAACCCTCCGCAAGGCAGGGCTATCTGCAACAGGCTGCTCTGCCCCTGAGCCCGCTGGGCTCCAACTGCCTCCAGGAAGGGAGATTCACCCCCTGGTCCGGGCTACGTGTCACGCTTTGACTGCTGTCCTGGGGAAGGTGGCTCGCCTTGTGCCTAACCACAGCTCCCCTTGCTGCAAGGCGAGCCGGCTCCCTCCTGCTCCACCTCCGAGAGCAGCCTGTCTGAGTCTCTGCAGTCCCCTAGGGAGCTGCAGATGGCAGCAACCCCTGTTCGCCTTCCCTCGCCCAGGCTGAACAAACGCAGCTCTCAGCCTCCCTTCGCCCCTCTCAGCTCCAGCCCCATCTGCACGAGTGGTCCCTGTCGCCCTTGCTCCCAGGGGTCACTTGTCTGCATGGCACTGGGGAGCCCGGACCTGGGCTCAGCCCTCCTCACTTGGTCCCATGGGTGCTGTGTCACTGCCTGGAACGACGCACGTCACCAGGGACCTCTCGACAGCGCGTGTCCCAGCCCCAGGGGCAGCTCTTGCCTCCTCCATTATCAACCCTTTGAAGAACGGCTATGCCCGTGGGCGGCAGCCCAGGAGGCCACTAAGCAACACGACGGCTGCTCTCACTCTCACTGGCGGCGTTCCCTTATGGGTGAAGGATGTAACCACGCAGCTAGAGCCTGCACGCGGAATGGGCTGCTTAGGCCAGGTTCACCGAGGCCAGGCTGGTTGCTCCTGATTTTGGAGCCTACCTGGGCCGGCGTCGCGGTGGAACATGGCTACGTCGAGGTCCGTGGGGCCCGCGTGGCCCAGCAGGCTGTGCTCCAGGGCCGGGCCCTGGCGGGCGGCCACGTTGTCCCTGAAAGAGAGGGCGAGTGAGCGCGGGCACCGTGTGAGCGCGGGCACGGAGCGGGCGCGGGCACCGTGCGCGTGGCGCGGCCGCGGCCCCGCGGCGCTGCCTACCTCAGGTAGCCGCGCTGGCTGGAGTGGGTGCGCGCGGAGCGCACGCTGCTCACCGACGAGACGGTGGAGGCGCCCAGCGTGATGCGGATGAGCCCGCTCTCCTCAAACAGCGCCGTGTTGTTGTAGGCGTTGGGGCCCTGCCAAGGCAGAGCAAGAGGCAAGGGCTCAGTTGAGGTGCTAGGGGGCACAGCCTTCCCCCCAGCGCCCGCTGTGCGCCCGGCAGAAGGGCCGTCCCCACGGAGGGGCCCTGCTCACCTGCGTGCTCCTGCCCGCCTCCTCGCCCTGCGCCTTCTTGCCGAGGCAGGCCAGCTTCCAGGCCTCCTGCACCTCCTCGTTCAAGACGCAGAAGAGGAGCAGCACCGCCAGGCCCTGGCAAGGGGAGACACGGAGACACGGAGTGAGCCCACGGGCAGCACGGTGGGGACAGGAGGGGTGGGCGCCTGGCTCCTCTCTGACGCTCTCCAGACCCTCGCCCGCAGCACAGGCTCTGGGCCAGGACCTGGTACCAGGGCCTGGTGCCTCCTTCAGAGCCCCCTGTGCTGCTCCTGGCACCGGCAGAGCCACGTAGGCACTGACCCCCCCGAGGCCCAGCAGTGCTGACCCACAGGCCAGCGGCAGTGGGAGAGGAACAGAGAGGGTGTCCCCAGGCAGAGGGAGGCAAAGCGAGGAGCCTGGCCGCAGCTTCAGCCCTTTCAGCAGCTCGTCACAGAGGGCTGCGCTGGCCGGGGCGCCCGTGGCGAGCGCCACGACCGCAGCGATGCTCTCCCGGGCTCCCCATGCCCGTTCACGTGCCATGGCTCGCTAACTCGGTGCCTCCTGCACGCGTGCTGAGGGCCTCAAGGAGCCCTAGCGAGCTACGTGCCATGGTGCTCCCTGTCCCCAGCACCCGAGTCCCACCGGGGAGCGAGCCTGCTCCCAGGACAGGCCCTGCAGAGGGGACACAGCTGGGTGCAGGAGCACAGAAGGCACCTTTGTCCCTGCAGGCCTCCTCCGGCCGAGGCTGGGCAGTTACCTGGAGACTGCAGAGGACAGTGTAGAGGTAGTGGAAAGCCAGGACACTGTTGTTGACAGCCAAGAGGCCAAAGAGCCAGGTAGTGCTAATAACTAGAAGCAGAACAAAGGAGCTCCGTAACGTCATGCTGGAGAGAGAGAGACAGACACACAAGCACACACACACCAAGAGGTTAGTGCCTGCTGTTAATCTACAGCCTCGTGCTCACACAGGGATCCAGAGGGGAACGCAGTCCTGTCCAGCCCTCCAGGAGGTGCCCCGTGGCAGCACAGCGGGCACAGCTCTGCAGAGCGACTTGGTCCCCCTGCCCCCAGGGCATTCCCTTCTGGATCACACATGGCAAACAGGGCCCAAACGACACAGGTTGTTTGGAGCCGTGAATAGAGGAGCTGAGGCTCCAGGCTGGCCCAGAAGGAAGGAGGGCATGAGTGAGGAAAGGTGTCAGAAGGAGTGTTCAGAAAAGGAGGAAAGAGGCGCTGAGAGTCATCAAGGGCAGGGTGATGAATGCAGGCAGGTGTGAGAGGGGGCAGTGAGGGCGGGCAGGGAAGGGGACAGGGTGTCAGGACAATGTAGGGATGAGCATGCAAGAAGAAGAGACCCTTAGGAAGGGTTAACACAGGCACCAGGTGAGCGAGAAAAGTGGCTTCAAGGCTGACACTGATGCACAGAGGGCACTTGGCGATGGATGAAGAGGGAGGATGGTCACTGGAAATGGCAAAAATCATGAGCAGTAGAAGCCTTGCTGGGAGTCTGGCCAGCAATACTCACAGAACCGATTTCTTCTTGGTCTCCTTTTGGCCTGGGGAACAGGACATCTTAGCCACGAGCAGGAACATCACCCCATTCATCTGAAAGTGGTGGCACTGGTTAGAAGACGTGTGAGGGCGGCACTGGCCTGACACCCCAAGCTGGAGCACAAACTCCTGGTCTGTGAGGCCTGTGTGGACTTCCTTCCCTTCCCACCCTCTCCACGGCCTCCAGGGTTTGGCTGGGGTGAGCAGGGGGCAGAGAGGGGCTGCAGTCGAGGGAGCACAGTACAGAGAAGTGGGCAAGACACCCAAGGAAAAGGTGAGCACCCATGGTGCTGAGAAGGGAGGCGGGAGAGGGCTGTGGGTGAAACAGGACAGGGTTTTACCACAATGACGACAGTAATGGGGCCTGCAAAGCTCCAGACCAGCTTATCATGAATGGAAATCCAGCAGAAATCAGGGTTCCCGTAGCCCTCAGGATCCAGGCCAACAGCCAGCCCTGGGAGAGGAAGAGAGAGGTCAGGTCCAGACCCAGCCGCGCTGGGCTTGGCAGAGCCACGTCACCCAAGCACTAGGGAAACCAGGAGACCTCAACCATGAGCTCTGTGGCAACCAGGGCCTCACACCCACCAGCAAACTGTGGGGAGAAGCACGGCGAGGTTGCTTCTCCCCAGGAGGCCAGACAATGTGGATGTATATCCTGGCGGGCCAAATCAGCACCGCTCACCACCAGCATGGAGGTCCACAGGCCCACCCAGGTGCCCATGACAAGGCCCACCCTCTGCTCTTCTGAATGGGCAGGGGCGCTGGGTGACACTGGGGGATTGGGAGGCTGCTGAGATCCAGCCCTTGTCTCGTGGCAGGGTGATTGCTGGTTCCTACCGGTGATGATGGCGGGCACCCCCCAGCCGATGGCATAGTAGAAGCGCATGGCCCCAAAGTTGACGTTGCGGGCTTCAGTCTGCATGCGGTAGATGTGGAGGCCCTGGACGAAGAGCCAAGCGAAGGTAGAGAGGAAGAAGCAGTGCAGGAGGATGGCGATCACAGTGCAGAGGAACTGGGGGAGGCAAAAGCCACTCAGAGACGGCCCCACTGTGCCAGTGCTAACTGTTCTGTCCCCGGCTCTCCACATCCCCATGGTGTGGACTCCCATCCCCACTTCCCATGGTGGGACTGCAAGACAGGTCCCAGAGGAAATAAGATCTAATCCCTCAAAACCCCCAAGAGATTTCCTTTCCCCACCCACACAACTCCAGAGTGTTGAGTCTCTTTCCAGGAGAGCATCTGCTCCGGGGAGCACCTGTCCACAAAAGGACAGAAGAAACGAAACAAGCCCAAAAGCGTGTGTGCCTGCTCCTGCCCCACACCTGGTTCTCTGTGTGGTTGATGCCCAACAGAAAGAGGAGTTCAGAGAAGAAGAGGGTGACCGATATGTTGGAGTGGATGCCACGGGTGTTGGACTTGAGGCCTTTGAGGCAAGTCAGGAAGGAGAAGGTCAGCAGCAAGGCCAGCAGGGAGAGGGACACCAAGGAATAGGTGACAATCGCCAGCGTCTCCAGGTCACCTTCCAGTTGCTGCAGCAGAAAAAGCAAAGGCAGCATTAGGGAAGGGCACACGAAGCCTGCCGAGCTTTCAACCTCTGTGTCCACCCACACGTCTTCTGCCTGTGTCTGCTTATTCTGGGCACCACATCCAACAGTGCCACCCCCGGCCTGCCTTCTCCTGCCGCAGGATGAGGTTACCTCTCGGTGCGAGCTGTCCATCAGGACCCCGAAGGTGCCAAACTGGGAGCACTGGCAGTGGACATGCGTGGCATTCCTGTACACAAGCTCACAGTCCTTGGCTGTCCAGAAACCTGATGGGTTGGTCCTGCAGCCACCAAAAAGCAGAGCATGCTTAGAAGAGAGGATGCACGAGTGCGGCATGCAGGGAGGAACTGCACTGCAGAGGGGCATCAGCAAGGCTTTCCTATCAGCAGGCAGAGCTGCACTCCCAAATGCAAGGTAACAGTGGCAGAGTCCTGCAGGGATCCTACTGTGCCCTCCCAAGCAGGAATGAAGCCCCAGGGTGACAGCGGAAGCCCCCGTGTCCCAATTCTGCCCACACAGCCTGTCTCTGCTGGGAGGCTCAGGCAGCTAGCGGGTGCCTGGAGAAGGCAGCGCAGAGCGAGAGGATCCCGGTGCCAGGCTTCACTCACGGGCTGGAGTGGTTCCACTGCACGCACAGAGGTTTGCTCCTGTTGGCCGTCTCCAGCAGGTGAAATTCCAGCACGAGAGGAGCGTCGAGGGGTCCGCGCAGGAAGGTGTGATTGCTGAACACGGCCACGCTCACAATGGGAGAGTTCATGACGGGATGCCTGGGGAGCCTGTGGGGAGCCACAGAGCACTGCTGTCACCCAGCCTGGGAGCCATGGCCCTTCCCAGCACTAAGCCAGCACCTCCACCTTGGCAGGAACAGCTCTGCCCTGCTCACACCAAGGGGCTGGGCGACGTGCGGCAGAGCAATGTCAAGCCAGGAGCGGGCAGAGCACAACAGGACCACCCGGCTGGGAAGCAAACCCCAACCACCGTGCACAGGCGTGAGAGGGAGCAAAGCAGGGCCCAGGCAGCCTCCCCGCGCTGCTGCCTGCAGTCCTTGCTGCGCAGGGGACACAGGACGTACCTGACGCTGCGGCGATCCACGTGGTAGCGCGCGGGGAGCAGCCCCCCCAGGGTGCGGTACATGATGAGGATGACGACGGCCAGCGCGGGCTCGGGCTCGGGCAGCGCCTGCCTCGGAGAGGGGCTCTCCACAGTGTAGTTCCCTTCACCCCCGGCAAGGGAGGGCATTGCCGTGGGGACAGCTGGGACACAAGGGATGGTGAGAACGGCCCTGCACACCACCCCTAAGTGCAGCCTTGCATGCCCGGGGGCACCCAGCGCTGCCCTGACTGGGCCAGGCTGGGGGAAGAGGCCCGTGTCGTTCCCATTCACCAGCACACGGGATCTGGGCAGTTTTCTCTCCCAGCTCTGCCCTGGCCTGCTTAGGGCCTCAGAGAGAAGCGGTGCTGGCCCCGCAGCAGCAGCAGGGCCCCAGGAGCCTTGGGAGGAGCAAGAAGCTCTGAGCTCCGGGGTGACTGACTGGTGTGTGACACAGGGAGGTGCCTGCAGGGACACGTGCCCCGCAGCCCTGCATGCCCATGCTGCTCCCCCGCAGCGCTGCCCTGCTCACCTTCAGCCTTGGCGGGGCTCAGCACGGACAGCGGCAGCACCACGTGCGTGCGGGGGTCCCAGGCGGGCTGGCCGCGGAACAGGCTGCTGCGGTAGCGGGGGTAGCGCCGGCGCACGTGCGAGCGGTTCTCCATGCGGTCGATGCTCAGCACTGCGCGGGGGGCAGAGAGCGAGAGGCGGCTCTGAACGGCCACGCGGGCAGCACCGGCGCCCCGGCCGTCCTGCTGCCAGGACGTGGCGAGGAGGGTATAAAAGCCGCAGGCTGGGCTGCAGGCGTCCCCACTGCGTTCGGGCCATTCCCAATATTCACAGCGCTCCCTCCCAGACCCCGCTCCGCCGCAGGACAGGCTGCTTCCGACCCCGCGCCCGGCTCCTCTCCGGACACCCAGCTAGGACGGGTCGGGGGGAGGCAGCGCGCTCCGGGCTCCGCGGGCTCTAGGGCACACAGCACTGGGCTATCTCCCTGCTGCTCCCTCGCTTGTGAGAGCTGAGAAACTCCCAGCTGCACGCAAAGCAGCCCCGGCTGCTCCTTCACCACGGCGCTAGCCTTTCACAAGCAGCTCGAGCACACATTGCATTTAGGATCCCCTTCACCCATCTTCCCGCTCAGCGGCACTGACCTGTGACTTGGCTCACTGCTTTGTGTCCTTTCTCAACACAAAGCTTCTCACAAAGGTGAGAAGAGGGAAAAATGAAGAGGGTAAAACCCTGATTTCAGCCCTTTTGTTTTTTCAGATGAAAGAGCGACTCCACACCACCGCAGCCGGGCCCAGCGGCAGCTCCTACTCACTGATGTTGGGGGTGATGACGCCGACGGGGTTGAGGTAGGTGAGCTTCATGTTGCTGGCCAGGGTGCCCGAGTAGTCGTGCAGCTGCTCCATGAGGCTGGCGCTGCCGTGCTCGCTGCAGGGCAGCATGGCCCAGTGCTCCCGGTTCTCGGGCGCCAGCACGGAGCTGCCCGCGCGCAGCAGGTTCTGCACCGGACAGACACGGGGGTTAGGGGAGGAGAGGGACAGCTCTCAGCGCCCTGGCCACACAAGGTTACCAGGGCTCTGCCCTCTGTCCACCCTCACAGGGATAAGAGCTTGCTTCACACCTCATCACAGTTCCCCTTGTTGCAGCCTGGCTCTGCTCCCTCTCACCCTATCGCTGGGCACCTCCAAGAAGAGCCTGGCTCTGTTTTCTCTGCATTCCTGCTTTACAGGAGCTGAAGACAGCAACAAGGTCACTCTTGGGCTTCCCCTCCCCAGGATTAGCGAACTTTGCCCCTTCAGCTTCCCCTTGCTCCTCCTGCACTCCAGTCCCTACTGGTACCACTCCAGCGGGTCAATGCCTGGGCAGGGCAGCCTGGACCCGGAGCCAGCCCTCCTGATGCGGTTTCATAACCTTCTTGCACGCCTCACCTCGTTGAAGTGGGCGTCCTGCGTGGCGGTCAGGCCGAAGCCCCGCTGCCGGCTCTCGAAGGCCATGAGGCGGGACAGCAGGCGGTAGGTGATGTGCACATCATTGCCAAAGTAGTGGTCCATGTGGTCTGTCACAGCCCGGAGCCGGTGCGCCAGCTTCTTGGCTTCAATTGTGTTGAGCTCAGTCTCGTTCCTCTCCAGGCCCTCCAGCTGCCAGTGGGGAGGAAGGAGAGGATTAACCGCTGCGTGGGTTCCTCCACAGCATGCAGCACAGCTCCCAGGGAGCGGGATGTGGGTGCTGCAGGCCCACGGATGGGCTCTGAAACCATGGCACAAGCTGAGGACATTGCCCATGGTGCCCACAGGGACAGAGGCATCTCTTGGAGATGACCAGTCTCCAGTAATGATCTGATCTCCAGAGGTTAGACTAAAGAAAAGGAAAATTCCTGCTCAGATCAATGTCCCAAAGACAGGTTTTGAGCACAAGATGAGAGGAGTAAGGTGCTGAGCACTGTGGCAAAGCCCACTCCTGCTCTAGGTGCCTAGGGAGAGCTGAGCTCTTTGAAATATTTACTGAACAGGAGGAGGGTGAGGGTAAAGAGTGATTTGGAGATCTTCCAAACCTGCCTGGATGCCACCCTGTGCCCCATGCTCTGGGTGTCCCTGTTGGAGCAGGGGGGTTGAACTAGATGATCCCTAGAGGTCCCTTCCAACCTCAACCACTCTGGGAGTCTGTGAAATCCAGCAGTGAGCCCTAGTTCCTACTGCCCCTGCCCTGCCAGGCGCGCGGAGCCACGAGCAGATTACCAGCACGGAGAGCTCCTTGAAGGCAGGCGAAGTGCAGTTGAAGAGATCTGGCTCCAGCCAGCCCTTCTCCTCATCACAGTGTCTGACGGCTGCGCCTGCAACCGGGAGGAAGGACAAGTGTGGAACGTGCCCCGGGATGCGCAGGTGCCCCGCTGCGCCCCCAGCAGAAACCCGCCGCGCCAGCTGCTCCTGAGGACCAGCGCGGGCAGGTGCCAGGGAGGCCCCGCAGTGCCCGGGGTCCTGCTGGGCACTGAACTGCCAGCTGCTGCCCACGCTAACGCCACGAGCAGGGTCCTGTGTGCGGGGCAGCACTGCGGCACACAGGCTCTGCACAGAGCATGCTGAGAGGAGGGAAACAACGAAGCAGCTCTTGGCCTGCAGAAGACTTTGGATCCTGGTGGGGACGTGTCTGTCTGTCTTGGGGCACATTCAATCATATAAATATATATAAATACCTTGAATATATACCTAAATATATTATAAATACTTCAAGGGAGGGAGTGAGGAGGATGGGGCAGGCCTTGTTTCGGTGGTGGTCCCTGACAGGACTAGAGGAAATGGCCGCAAACTGAAGCACCAGAAGTTCCACAGGAACTTAAGGAAAAATTTGACAGTGAGGGTGCCAGAGCCCTGGAACAGGCTGCCCAGAGAGGTGGAGGAGTCTCCTTCCCTGGAGATCTTCAAAACTCACTTGGATGCAGCCTGTGTCACGTGCTCTAGGGGACCCTGCGTGTGCAGGGGGTTGGACTGGATGTTCTCCGGAGGTCCCTTCCACCCTTAGCAATTCTATGGTTCTGTGACTCTATGATCCCAAGCTGCTGGAGCCCAGGTGGCCCTGGGCATCCCCTGGCTGCCAGCCTGCAGTACCTGTTGAGGCTGTGGGGCTGGAGAACCTGCCTTGGGGACCAGCCCCTGGAGCCAGGCAGGGAGAGCAGGACCTGTTCAGCACCGTGGCTGCCACATCAGCTGAAGTGCCAACCCCTGCCTGGGGGACACTGGACAGCAACACGGACACCAGCAATGCACGGATCAGCTATCAACCACCCAAGAGTGCTGCCAGCACCAAGAGCCGCGTCCTGCGCCCGCCGCATCACCATGCAGACCTCGAGAGAAAGCAGGGTGCCCCTGTGCACCCAGCAGGACCGCGAGCCAGGCCCTCGTGGCGACGGCACCAGCGCAGGACACGGCAGCAGCGAGCCCAGGGAGAAGAGAGGATGCCTGGAGCAGCCTCCAGCTGCTGCTCAGGAAAGCCCCGTGCCAGCCTGCTCTGTCCCACCCTCTCCAGCTCCCAGGTGCCCTTCCTGGCCATCCTTTCCCCTGGGAATCAACGCTGGGATCAGCGGCGTGGCAGCTGGGAGCAGCCTCCGTGGTGCCAGCCGTTCCCCAGCAGAGAAGGGCTTTTCCTCCCTGGTGCCCAAGCGCCGGCCGCGCTGAGGGGCTCCAGGCAGGACGCGGCCCTGGCTCCATCCTCCTCCTCCTGCCGGGCAGCAGGCCCAGCCTGGGCGCCCAGCAGCGCCGGCCCTGTTCATGGGGCTCTCCCCGCTCACAGGGCAGGAGCGGTTCCCCCTTCCTCCACCCCTCGGGCTGGAGAGCGGAGCCTCTCGCGCTGCTCGGAGCAGGGCTGCAAGCTCAGAGCAGTGCGTGGCAGGGGCTGCATGCGGCTGCAGCCGGGTTTGCGCTGCCGAGGGCGCCAGGAGCAGGAAAGCAGCACGAGGGAGTGGTGAGGCCAGGCAAAAGCGGTGGGAAGACGCTCGGCAGCTCCAGAAGCGGCAGGGAAAGCGCAGGGCTGTGCGGGACGCCAGGCAGGGAGCAGGGAGGGGAAGCCACGCGGTGCAGCCCTTGGGGCAGGGAGGGAGGGAAGGAGGTGGCAACAACCTTACCTGCACCCCGCAAACCTGAGCACGGAGGGCGAGAGAACCGGGGAGAGAAGCGACAACAGTTAGGAGCTGAACCTGCCTCCTCCGGGGGCGAACGGCTGGAGAAGGACAGGGTTTGTATTGTCCCTCGGGGCCGCGCTGCCCTACAGCCCCCGCACCCTGCTGGCTCCTCGGCCATCTCCTGCTCCAGGACACTCACCAAACGGCACGCTGTGCCCGAGGGCAGGGCTGGGCAGTGAGGTGCCGCGGGGCCAGGCTGCTCTTCCCAGCCTGACCCCAGGTCCGTTCTGCTGCACGGGAGCGCAGGGGGAAGCGCTGGGGACAGGGCCTGCAGCCCGCGCCCAGCTCTGTGTGGGACCCCCCAGCTCTGCCCACACTGGGGCGATTTCCTCCTCCCGTTTCCTTCTCCCAGCCCTCCCGCCCAGCCAAGCCAGACCAGCACAGCGCTAAAAAGGAGTGATGCTGCCGAGGCTGCTACAGCCCCAGCGCTCCAGCCAGCGGCTCCCCGTCCCTCCCCAGCACATCCCTCACTCACCCAGGGAGCCTTTGGGACACAGCACGGCGGCAGAGGAGCCGAACTTGGTCTGGGGCCACCACACGCCCGCCTTGAGGGTTTTGGGGCAGCCGTCGTAGAGCACTGCGGACACAAGCCGCGCGGGAGCCGGTCACGGGGGACGGCGCTGACGCCGAGCGCCGCGGCGCCCGCTCCCCGCTGCCCCACTCACCCTGGCAGCCGCTGGGCGTCACCTCGGCGAAGGGGCTGTCGCAGCCGTTGCACTGGCGCCCGATGACACCAGGCCTGCAGTGGCAGCGGCCCGTCTCCCTGTCGCAGGAGCGCGAGGAGGAGCCCACGGGGTAGCAGTCGCAAGGCAGGCAGGCGTCGCTGCCCTTTGGGCGGTAGTGGAAGTCCTGGCGGGAGAGGGGGACAGTGAGGCAGTCCATGGGGACTGCAGCAGAGCAGGAAGGGGCAGGGGAAGGGGCAGGCTCTCCCCTAGGTGAGCAGGGGCTTGTTCACCGGGGGGGGGACCCCAATGGGACCCCATTAGCAAGCTCCCCACTGTCACCTCCTTGGACAAGGAGGGCTAGGGCAGGGGCACCCAGGCCTCCCAAGAGCACAGAGCAGGGCTGAGCAGCTGCCAGGGCAGGGGACAGCAGCGGGGACACGTGGGGCTGCAAGGGCACGGGTCACAGCCGCCCCTCACCTTGCAGTGGCACTGCCCGTTGGTTTTATTGCAGTCAGGGTCAAAGCCCTTGTTCACGTCGCAGTTACAGGGCCCGCAGGTGGGGTTCCCCCACCAGCCCTTTGGGCACTGCTGGTCCATCCTAGGGAGAAAAACAGGTGACATCACAAAGCAAATTCCCTGGGACTCTTCACCTCCCACTGGCCAAGCCACCCAGCAGCTCGCAACGGGCAGGGTGGCACCGAAGGCACCCGTGCGCGTGGAGGGATGGGAAGGTGGCACAGAGAAGGGCATCAGAAGGCAAGGCCCTGCGCCCCCGACTCACCTGTGCTCACAGTACTGCCCAAAGAAGTTCTCTCCACACTCGCACACGTAGCCCAGGGGAGAGCCCGGCTTGCGGCGACACACCGACTTGTTCTTGCAGGGGTTGAGGTGACACACGTCCACGCAGTCCCCTCCGTAGTACCCTGAGACATGGACACAGGGCGCCGTATTAAGCAGGTGTCTTCCCCACAGAGAGGTGCAAAGCAGCAAGGAATGGAGTCGGGGTAGGGGGCAACGGGGATTTTCTCCTCCACAGAATCAAACGAGAGGAGGGCACTTCTGGGCAAAGGACTTTCCAAATGGAGGGGCAGGAGAGCAGCCACAGGCCGGGCTGCAGGAGCCACAGAGGCCAGAGGAGCAGAGCAGCAGTGCGGTGTGTGAGAGGGTGGCAGCGCCGCGGGCCCTACCTGGCAGGCACACGCAGGAGTAGCTCTGCCACTCGTCCTTGCAGACGCTGTTGGCCGGGCAGGGGCTGGAGTCGCAGGCACTCGGCACGTTGCAGCCAGCCTCCACCCGCAGGGCATGGCTGGGCTTGGGCAGCGCAGTCCCACTGGCACTGTCACCTAGTCGCACACCCTGCAGCACAGAAGAGAATTGCACAGTGGAGCCAGGGCAGACATGAGGCTCGTGCTCTCCTGCCTTCCCCAAACCCGGCACCCAGATCCCCACAGCCCCTTGGGCCCCAGAACACTCAGAGCGTGAGTGTCACCCACAGCACGGACAGTGGCAGCAACTGCGAGACCTGCGTTTCCATCCCTCGGCACAGGGCGGGCTCAGAGCTACGAACTCACCTGTATGCAGCCCCTCAGGCCGCTCTGCACCTCGCCGGAGCTCAGCACGCCCCCCACGTGAAGGTGCTTCACCTTCAAGCCATGCAGCTCGTTTCCAACCACCACCGTGTCCTGCAGAAAGAAGGGGAGCAATGTGGGGCCACCGGCATCAGCCCTGTCCCGTCAGCTTGTGGGTGCCAGCCCGCCCTGAGGGCGCAAAGCCCAAACCAGGCCTCGGTACGCAGAGCCTCCTTGCAGCTGCCGTCCTGGCGCCGGCATCCCCGGCGCTCATACCTGGTACAGGCCGAAGTCCAGGGTGAGGGTGATGACGTAGTGCGCGTCGCGCCCGCCGCGCACATCCCGCAGCTCCAGCTGCAGGTCGTGCCACTTGCCATCGCTGAGCTGCAGCTGGTCCAGGGTGAGGCTGGTGCTGCGCCCGGAGCCCCTGCTCACCACGAAGGAGAGCAGCCCCCCCGCCAGCTGCAGGGAGGGAAGCAGCAAGAGCCGCAGTCAGCAAAACCTGGGCCACCTCCATCCTACCCTCCTGTGAGCTCCGGGCACGGGGAGCAGGGCCCCGTTCTGCTAAACATCCCTCCCCACAACCCCACACTGCGTGGGCTGGAGGCAGGTGAGTGTGGGGCACAGGTGCTGCCACCGAGGCCTTGGCCATGGCCCTACCTGGCACAGCAGGGTGGTGTACTGGCCAGCGTGGGCCTGCAGGAGCACCCCGTCCAGCTGACGCGTCCGAAACGCCAGCCCCAGGTACCACGGCACCGAGATCTTCACATCTGCCTTAAAGTCCCACGTCAGGATGCTGTTGCCCTGGAAATAGTGGGCATGGTGCATGGCTGGAAAGGAAAGCGGAGGTGAGGAGGAAGGATGGGGACTGTCTGCTCCTGCTCTGGGCTCTTCCTCACACAGCGCAGTGCAAGGGCCTGGCCACGGTCACCGTGGGCTCAGCGGGGAGAGTGACAGTGACACCAGGACCTGCCTGCAGCACCATTGCTCTCCAGGATCTCTCCCATTTCTGGAGGCACGGCAACTCCGTTTTCCAAGGGACACTACACAGAGAGCACTAGGTGCAGGGACAATGTACCGAGCTCACCTGCTACGTCCCCCTCACCCGGCTTCCACAGCCACCCCCGCACCGTGTCCCCGCCGCCCGCACGCAGCACTCACGGTGGCGGCAGTCTTTGCCCCCAAAGCCGACGGGGCAGAGGCAGGAGTAAGTCCCCCAGCTGACGGAGCAGGTGCCGCCGTTCTTGCAGGGGCTGGAGTCGCAGAAGGAGTGCTTGGCGTGGCAGCCTGCAGGGATCGAGGTCACCCACGTCAGCCGCAGCCTCCTCCCCACGTCCCACCACGGCCCCGCGAGGCTCTTCCCCCGGCTGCCAAGGGACAGGCAGAGCTGCTGGGCCGCTCGGCACCGGCCCTGTCTGCTTGGGGACAAGCACAGGGGCTGCCACTGCTCCTTACACCATGGGAAGGACACTGCAGAGCTAGTCTCATGCTCAGCGGCATCTCCCAGAGAGGCTCCCTGCACGTGGGAGCGGGAGACACCCCCAGGACATTAGCTGGGGCCAGGCTGGCTGATCCCCTCTCCCATGGGAAGCTGCTCGGCTCCAGCTGATCCACCACGGAGCCCCACCAGCCCAGTTCCCTGGCCACGCTGCTGGGGGAGCAGGTGGGGAAGGAGCCAGCAGCGATACCTGCAGCAGTGCCGTTGTTGGCGATGTAGGAGGCCAGGTCGATGCGCTTGCTGTCAATGTACAGGTCTCTCATGCATCCCACAAAGTCCCGGTGAGTGACGGGGAAGTTTTCGGGCAGGTTGGGGACTCCTCCAAGGAGCAAGGGGCCTGTGAGGTCCAGCGACCTGCAGGGAGAGAAGCCCAGGGTGTAAGATCTGCAGTGGCACCAGGCTGGCTGGAAGGGGGCATCACCCTAGGGACAGCACATAGCTGTGCTCGGCCAAAGGTGACAGAGTGACCCCACCGGGGACCTGCTCCTCCCCGCTGCGCCCGGCTGACCCCGAGGCACTCACTTCTTGGAGCTGGACTGCACTCCCTCCGCGGCACACGAGTAGTTCCCGATCTCGCTGCCAAACTGCAGGGCCACCGAGGCATCACATCCATCCACCGTGAGGACAGCCACCTTGTCCTTGGAGGGGCCCTGCGCCACGCCCAGGGCGTTCACCTTGGGCTGAAAGGGGTGGCAGGCGTTAGCAGAACACACTTACCCCCTCACCAGACCACCTCACGGGGCGGCAGGGACAGGGCTGCACCCAGCTCGGCTCCCCTGCACACGCACAAGCAAATCCCAAGGGATGTTTCTGGACAGAGCAAATGGGGATGGAGATGGACACTGCGGATGACACAGCATGAAGCACCTTGCTGTGGCCTCTGAGCAGGGTCCTCCCCTCCGCCCAGCATGCAGGATACATAACGGGCTCTGCCTACTCCCTGGGGCAGAGCTGGAGGAGGACAAGGCAAATGGCCCCGCGGGGAGAGTGCCACGTGCACGGGGGACAGGCAGGGACACACGTACCTTGTTGTAGTAGTGGAGCTGCAGCGTGTGCCACTGCCCGTCGCTCACTCCCCCGGGCAGGAACGGGCTCACCACCGTGCTCGACTCTCCTGCGGGCACAGGGGTTGGTGCTGAGGGCAGCTGGGCAGCGGCAGAGCCGCCTCTGCTCCTCTCTGTCCCCAGGGCCGGGTATGGAGGCTGAGCAAAGCAGCCACGGCAGCAGGTGCCCAAGGCTGCCCGCTCAGGCTGCGGAGCGGAGGGGAAGGCTGGGCACCACAGATGACATGAGCAGCGAGGCGAGTGTGGCACCGCGTTATCTGCCTCTGTGCTCAGCCTTCCTGTGTGCGCCCAGGGGCACGGAGCCCGGGCAGCCTCCTCCCCAGCGTCCCAGGGTCATGCTTGGCCCCCGTGCATCCCACGTCCCTCCTGCTGCTTCTGCACTTACGCTGTCAGGTTTAGGGAGAGTCCTTGGACATGCACACTGGAGATCCAAACACATCACACAAAGACCCCCTGCCAGCCACCAACACCCCCCAAACGACGTGTCCCCTCCCGTGGCCTGGAGGCTGGTCTCCCCCAGCGCGGGGCCAGGCCTACCTGTGGAGTACTTCAGCTGCAGCTGCCCCTCGATGATCTCCACGGCCAGGAAGTCGTGCCGCTCGTTGAGGCGCCCGTTGTAGAGCAGGAGGCCGCTGGGCTCCCGGGTGCTAAACCTGTGGCGAGGGAAGGAGCGGGGTGTGCACGGGGAGCGGGCAGAGCGTGGCTGGGTGCCACGCGGGGCAGCCCCACGGCCCTGGGCCGGCGCGGCGCAGGGGGGCACTCACGAGAGGGCCAGCGTGAGGTGGAAGCGCTGGCGCAGGCCCCGGAACATGACGAAGGAGCGCGGCGGGAAGGAGCGCGTGGACACCTCGCAGAGCGGCGCCTCGAAGCCGCCCGCCGGGCACTGGCAGCGGAAGCCGCCGTCGGCGCCGTCGGTGCAGGTGCCCCCGTTGCGGCAGACGCCGGGTGCGCAGCGCCCCGCACGACTGTCCACTTCGCAGTTCTCACCTGGGGGGACAACACGGGAGGCCCTCGCGCCTGCGCTGGATGGAGCCCCGACTCCAGCAGAAGGGACAAGTGTGCAGCAGGATGATGGGCAATGGGACAGGAGGGCACTGGTCACAACTGGGCAGAGCCCTGAGGGCGCAGAGGCAGAGAGGAGCCAGGGTGGGCTCTCCCCATGCCAAGCTCCTTAGACGGCCGGTGCTGCAGCTCACAGGAGAGCCAAGATGCCTTCCCAGCTCCCTGGGGCTCTCCCCTGGGCCGGGCATTTCTGCCTCTGCACCCTCGGTGCCCCCTGACAGCTCTGCTCCGGACGCAGCTTTGCCCTCCTGCTCCGTGGACAAAGCTGTCCCGGTGGGCAGGTAGCAGCCAGGGTCACCAAGTGTCCTCTGTGCCACATTTCTATGGCAACCTCAGCCCTGTGCACGCATGTTCCCCATGGAAACACCGAGCATAGGGAGCAGCGCTAGCCCTGCGAGGCGCAGCAGCAGCAGCAGCCAAGGTGGCATGAGCATCCTGCCGCGGTGCCAAGTGCCCTCCAGGACAGGCCGCCTCTCCCAGGAGCAGCCCGCGCGAGGCACCCGACCCAGCCGTTCCCATCCCTGCACAAGGTGCCCGGGACAGGAGCCCCGTGCCCACCCGGCACTCACCGCTGAAGGGCTGGCGGCAGATGCAGGTGTAGCCGCCCTCCCTGCGCGTGCAGGCGCCACCGTTGAGGCACGGGTTGGAGTAGCAGAGGTTGATCTCCGTCTCGCAGTAGTCGCCGGTGAAGCCCTGAGGGCAGCGGCAGCGAAGGCCAGCAATGGGGTGGATGGGTCGGAAGAGGGTGGACGGGGAGGCGATGAAGGGCGCCGAGCTGTCGAACTTGAGCACGGAGATGCACTTCATGTAGTTCTGGCAGGGCTCGCGCAGGCACACGTTGTCGTCGAAGGGCAGCACCTCGAGCATGGAGGCGCCCGTCAGCGCCATGCGCTTCATGTAGAGCTGCTCCTGCAGCTCCTCCGAGCTGAAGTAGTGGCCGCCGCGCGGCGCCAGCGCCGAGAAGCTCACGTTGAGCACCGTGCCCCCCACGTCCGTGTCGTTCTGGATGTTGAAGATGAAGACGTCCTCCTTGGGCGTCGCGAGCACCGTGGCCACCCCCTCCAGGAAGGTGGCGAGCAGCGGGGAGAGGAAGCGCTCCTGCCACATGTTCTCCAGGCGCACCGTGATGCTGTTGGCCAGCATCTCCTCCGTGATGATGATCACGCGCAGCACGCACTGCGCCGTCACGCTGTGGATGCCATCTGCAAGGGGAACGGGGCCACGCTGTGGGGTCGCTGGGAGATCCCCCCACCCAGGCAGGGTCTCCCAGCCCAGCACGGCCCCAACGGGCCCCAGCTGCAGCCGAGGGGCAGCTCGGAGTCAGGGCACAGGGAGGGCCTAAGCGCCGCTCTTGGTGGCTGCTCTTCCTCCCAAGCCTCTTGCTCTCCATGGACACAACCCTCCATTACCCCCATGTAAATCCCATCCTGGATCCAGGCAGCGAACTGAGCTCCCATAAACAAAGATGCTGGAAAGAAACAGGCAGACGGGAGGCCCAGCAGGAGGCTGAGCAAACAGAGGAGCTGGTGCCAAGGCCTGGGGTGTTTCTCCTCCCAGCAGTGTCCCGGCCTCGCTGCTGCCTCCCAGGCTGCCCCCCTGTGCTTTCCTCCTGCCTTTTCCTGCCCCTCTCCCCCAGGGTCTCCACAGCTCTTGTGCCTGTCTCCCTGCTTCCCCGCTTCTCACCATCTGCTCCCCATCTCTTTCTCCCTCATCCCCTCTCCAGTTTCTCTTTAATTCTCTTTAATCTTTATTTCCCGTGGAAACAAACTCCCTCTCCCGCGGGATTTTGCAGAGCACAAGCAGTCCCAGGGCACGAAGACGAGGGCAGCGCTGGCGCCCGGCTCGCAGCCCCCTGCCCGTCCTGCTCCAGCACTTCGCAGCTTCCCCCCGGATTTCAGGCCTGCCAAAGCGTCAGCACGTCCCACACCAGGAGAGCACCCGCAGGTGCCACCAGCAGCCCCAGCGAGGAGCTGTGGGCAGGAGGCAGCGCGTGCCAGGCCACGGGAGGGCAGCAGCTCCGCGGGACCCCGCGGGCAGCCCCAGCCCTGCGCGACGGCTGCCGAGCTGCCTGGCCCTTCGACTGCTCCCAGTGCAGCGCAGGAGCGTTTCAAGATTGAAACGTCTCCTTTTTTCTCTCCCTTTTCTCCCCTCTTCAGAAGCCGAGGGCTTTGCAGGGAGCCCGTGGGTGCGCGCGGTGCTGGCGTGATGGAGATAAGGCCCATGCGATGCCAGGGAAAGGCGAGGTGCCTCGGAGCTCAGCTCCAGGGGGAAGGGCTGCTGCCCCCGAATGCAGCCCCTCGGGACGCAGAGCCAGGCACGTCCTCCCGCGCAGCTCTCCGAGCAGGACACGAGCCCCGCCGGCCTTTGTCCGTCCCCACGCTGTGCTCGGGGGCCCGCGGGGGCTCCGTCGGGTCCCGTCTGCCCTCCGCGCTCTCAGCTCCGGCGAAGGGTCCCCGGGAGGCAGGCGCAGGGCACGCTCCCTCCTCGCTGCCGCTCAATGCGCGGCCGTGCTGCTGATTTACGGCCCCGGTGGCCGGGGCCAGCGCTGGCGCCGCAGGGGACACGGCCTCGCTCGCAGGCCCTGCTGCAGGCTGGCTGCATCGATCGGAGCCTGTCCCACGGGGGCACCCTGGTCGGGCCCCACGCCAGGGCCACCCGCAGTGCTCAGCTCTGTCCCCGCAGCCAAGCGGCTGTCACGGTGCCCCCCGTTCCGCGTGCCAGGCCGGTGCCCCATGGCACAGACAGCCCGGCCCCAGCGCTGCCCGTAACCTGCCGCCCACGCCGGCCTCGCACCCGAGCTGCCTCCCCCGCAGCGCCACGCACGGGAAGCAGATGGCTGAGAAAATGACCCTCTGCAAAGGAGAAGAGCGCACCGAAGAGAGCCGGGCTGGCGGGAGGCACTGACCCCCCTGGGACGCAGTTTAATCACAAACGCTCAGCCTCTCTGATTAAACCCTGTGGCTGGAGAGCTGGCACTTGGTGAATATTCATGCAGGGGAGCCAGGCAGCCTGCAAACGTGCCCACAGGGCAGGGCAAAGGGCTCTAGAGGCTCTAGCCCTGGTGCTGAGCAGCACTGGGTCATCACCGACAAGCACCCACAGGAAAAACAAGAGGGGCAGCTCCAGAAGGAGCAAGGCCTCCCCGGAGGGCAGGATGGGCTGGAGACTCTCCCCGCTCCCCATGGAGCAGGGTCTGTCGCAGCTGCTCGTGCAGCCACCCCTGCAGTCACCTCCCGGACACAGCGGGCAGCGCCGAGGAGCCCTTCCAAACAGCCAGGCACAAGCGAACACAAGGACAAGAGGCCGGAGGGCCCTTCACGTGGTTCAGAGGGCAGCGAATGCGGGACTGCCCAGAAGGGCCCGCGCCGGGCTCGGGGGAACCGCGCTTCTAGGAGAAGCCCCAGCGAGAAGAAGACAGCTCAGCTCCAAGAACAAGCCGGCAGCACCCCGAGGAGGAGAAGGGGCCCTGCATCTCATGGGGAGCCGGGAGGAGCCCCGGGAGGGCTCCCCGGGCTGCTGCCCAGCCTCTGCTGAGCACGGTCAGCGCAAGGGAAGGGCGCACGGCCCTGTGACAGCCCAGCAACAGGGATGGTGACACCCACAGACACGGGTGACTTCCAAATTTGGGGCTGAGGAGTAAATGCCTGGGCAGAAAAATCTATCTCATGAGGAAAGACTAAGCGAGCAGGGCCTGATTAGCCTGGAGAAGACTGATCAATGCAGGTAAGTACCTGAGAGGACAATGTAGGGAAGAAGGGGCCAAGCTCTTCTCAGTGGTGGCCAGTGACAGGAGAAGGGGCCATGGGTCCCAGTTGAAACCCAGGCAGCTCCATATGCATGTGAGCAGGAACTTCTTTGGTGTGAGGGTGCCCGAGCCCTGGCCCAGGCTGCCCAGGGAGGCTGGGGAGGCTCCTGCTCTGGAGATCTCCCAAACCCACTTGGGTGCAGCCTGTGCCCCGTGCTCTGCGTGTCCCTGCTTGAGTAGGGGGTTGGACTAGATCATCTCTAGAGGCCCCTTCCAACCTCAACCACTCTGGGATTCTGTGAAAAGGAGGAGAGACTAAAACAAAGAGACTGGTAGGGGTGAGGTGAACATCACTCACCGTTTCCAAAGGGCACGCGTGGATCTCGCAGTGTTTTGATAATCCTCTGACAGATGAGGAGATCTCAGAATTAAACTGTCCTCAAAGAGCACAGTATGTGAGTGTCCCTCTCCTGTCAGCTCTGAAAACTAAGACACTAAAATATATAACCAAGATGGCTCCAAGACCATTTCTTAACCAGGGACCAAACTGCACTCTTCTCTTTGGTTAGCACCTCCAGCTGCAACGGTCCTAACAGGGGAGGAAGCTCCCAAGATAAGGCCTCGCAGAAGCCAAATGAACACGTTGTGAAGGGCAAAGGCAGCCCTGGGAGCCTTCCCTGGCTTGAAAAGGCAGGAGCTGACATGTGCAGACACAGGAGCCGGGACAGACGTGCTCCAGGGGCCTCACCTGCCAGGCTGAGGGTTTAAGTGAGACATACCTTGGAAAACCCGGTCACCTCTCAAGATCTGGAGATCAAACCTATGCACTAACCAAGGGTGGCAGGCGAGAAGGATGGGGACAACCTCTTGGGGAGGGGGTTTGGGAGGAGGCCGCGCACCACGAGGACAAGGGCAGCCCTGCGGTCACGTCCCGCGCGCTGCCGCAGCCCAGCAGTGCCGGGAGGGCCGCAGGCCGACACGGTGCCAGGCTGGGGCAGCACCACGGATGCTGCCCGCCGCAGCCCCGCCACCCCGGCGCCTGCAGCGCCAGCGGCCAAGAGCAGCCGCCGGCGACACGGGGGCTCCTGCGCCCACACGGAAACAGGGACAGTCTCACTGCCTGTCGGTGCCACCGGAATCACCCTGGGCAGCCAAGTGCTCCCGGCCACAGGCACCGTTCAGCCTGCGCTGAGACAACCACACGTGGCAGCCCGGAGGGACGGGAGCGAGGAAGGCCCCTCGCCGCGGGATTCAGGGGGATCCCTCTATGGTGCACGAGGGGTGAAACCCCGGGGCGGGTAGGGAGCTGCCCCTCCCGGCGGCCTCCCCGCTCCCCACGCTATTGTTGCCGGGTTCCTGCCCAAGGAACGTGCTCCGGCGCAGCCGGCGCCGCGGGAACAATGCGGCCACCCGCGCCGCGGCTCTGCCAAGCCACCCCCGTGCCGTCCCCTCCCGGCGCACGGCAAGGCGGGAGCACGGACAGGCGCCCAGCTGGAGCCTCACGAGGCTCCTGACAATAAAGAACGAGCCAGCAAGCCCGATCTGCACCTCCCCAGCCCTCATCAAAGGCAACAAAGGACCCGGTTTTCACCGCGCTCGCCCCGCTGCCCAGCACGGCTCTTCCCTCTCCATCTCGCCCTGTCCCTCCCGGCAGCTCTGCCGGCCCGCTCTGCCCCTGGAAGATGACGACACTGTCACCCAGGGCCCCTCGCCGAAGGCGGCTCAGCGCGGGGCTGGGGGACGCGATTTCCTCCTGCCTTTGTGCCGGGGTAAGCGCGCGGGGAGGCAGGGCTCGCAGCAACGCGCTGGCGCCGAGGCCGCACGGGGCTGCTCTGCCCGGTGACCGGGAGCCCCAGGGCGGCTCCGCGCGGGGCGGCCGCGCTGGACAGCGCCGAGCAAACCCCGCGGGACACCCAGCCCCACCGCTGCCAAGGGGCCTCCTCGCTGAGCGCGCGGAGAGGACGTGCTGAATACGGCAGCGAGCTGGTAGCCGAGGCTCGGGGGAGACCCCCACTCGGGGCCCTGCACGTCCTGCTAATGCCGAGCCCCGCGAAGGAGGCTCGTCAGCCTCCCTCCGCCCGGGTTAGGGGCACCGACGCCTCCATTTCAGAGCACGCACCACAAGCACAGGAAGGCTCGTAGCGAAGGCACGGCTGGGGCAGGCAGGTCCGAACCCTGCTCTGCACAGAGCCCCGAGCTCCATCCTTGCCCTGCCTTCAGCTCCGAGGGGACCACACCACTTCCCCAAGCCACCTCAGGGAGGGGTCGCCGGCGCCTACATTCGGACACTCGAGCGACACGCGCGACGCGAGAGCTTTAAGCTCCTCTCTGAGGTCTAGTACCGCCGCCTCCTGCAACGCTAAGTCGCATTCAGAAAATTTTAGAAGCCGCACGAGAAACCACAAGGCTCAAGAGCTGCCATGCCCACGCTGCGGAATGCGGAGCCAAGCCGTGGTTGGCGGTGCGGGGCTCTGGCACAGGAGCATTTTTAGCGGGGCTCCCTGCAGAGCCCCGTGCACCGCCCTGGCCGGCGGCGCGAGGCTCCGGGGAGCAGAGCCGAGCTGTGCACCGAGGGCGGCCCCAGCGGCGGCTCCTTCGGGCAGCCAGGGCACCTCGCGGCCCCGCCGGCGCCACCCCGCAGCTCCCGGCCCCGCGGCTGGGTAACGAGGCTTTGTTCTCGCCCGCCGCCACCGCCGGGCCCTGCACACGCTCTGGCCCCCAGCGCCTCCCCATCTGAAGCGCCTCCCAACCCCAAGGCTGTTGCTAGTCCCCCCCAGCCCCAAAGTGCCCAGGAGGCTCCCGAGGGGAGCCACGCGAGGCCCCGGCGGGTACCCCATTACCACGGGCACTAGGGGCTGCGTGCGCCCTACCTGACACGGTCACCAGCATGGAGGCCACCAGCGGACGGTTGTTGTCCAGTTTGCGGCTCAGCCGCAGCTCCCCGCTCGACTGGTTTACAATCAACAAGTGCAGCTCGTTTCCCCGTTCAAAGGTGTAGAAGAGGCGGTCAGACACGTCGGGGTCATAAGCCGGGACCTTCCCGATGACCCCAGACGGGAAGGTGTTGGACTTATTGGACACGTAGTTATTAAACAAGATCTGGAAGTTCTTGAGGACAGGAGTGTTGTCATTTTGGTCAATGAGTTTGATGTGGACTGTGGCTCTGCTGACCAGAGGGGCCGAGGTGGCCTGTACCACAATCACATACTCAGGTTTTGTCTCATAATCCAGGTCTATCAAGGCTGTGAGCTCCCCAGAAAATATGTCCATCTGGAATATCTCAGGGATATTGCCTTCCACAATTTGGTACATGATTTGGGCATTAGGTCCCTCATCGGGGTCCACAGCTGTGATCCGGGTCACAACAGAGCCTACAATGCTGTTCTCCTTCACCAAGACCTCAAACTCTTCCGCGGGAAAGACAGGAGCGTTGTCATTCACATCCTGAACGGTAACCTGGATATGGACGGGCGTTCGCTGAGGGGGGATGCCCCGGTCCACCGCATAAGCAGTCAGCTCGTAGACGGGGACGTTCTCGCGGTCCAGCCTGCGGACCGTGCGAATGATGCCGGAGGTGGGCTCGATGGTGAAGTCCCCGTCCCCATCCTCCCCGTTCTGGAAGGTGTACTGCACCCGCCCGTTGGTGTGGGCATCCCGGTCGGTGGCGGAGATCTGGAGCACACTGGTGAAGGGAGGCGCATCCTCGGAGATGACGCCTTGGTAGTGAGGGCTGACGAACTGGGGGGCATTGTCGTTCACGTCGTTGACCATGATTTCAACGTAGGTGGTGTCCGCTTTCTGCGGGATCCCATTGTCCTTGGCCGTGATGGCCAACGTGTAGGTGACCTGGTCCTCATAGTCCAGTGCTGCCTGCAAAGTGATGGCGCCAGAGTCGGGATCGATGCGGAACTGCGGGACGTTGTCCTCGAGGTAGTACGTGATGCGGGCATTCTCGCCCACGTCGTCATCCGTGGCACTGATCACCACCACGGTGCTGCCCACGGGCCGGTCCTCATTGATGCTCACAGAGTAGTGGGCGCTCTGGAACACGGGCCGGTGCGTGTTGGCGTCGGTGATGTTGATGTGAACGTGGCAGGTGTCGCGCAGCGTGCGGTCAGAGGCCGTCACGGTGAGCACGTAGCGCCGCTCCTGCTTGTAGTCGAGCGGCAGCGAGAGGGTGATGAGCCCCACGCCGCCCTGCGTGCTGATGGAGAAGCGGTTCCGCGTGTTGCCTCCCGTGAGCTGGTAGGTGATGGCACTGTTCACGTCCCGATCGATGGCCGTCACGCTGAGGACGCTGGTGCCCACGGCCGCGTCCTCGTTCAGGCGGATGAAGTACTCCTTCTGCGTGAACTCGGGCCGGTTGTCGTTGACATCCATGACGGTGATGGTGACGCTGGCAGAGGCGGATAAAGACGGAGAGCCGTGATCCCGAGCCTCGACCCCAAAGAAGTAGTGCTCCACCAGCTCCCGGTCCAAAGGCCCGCTGACCGTGATCCACCCCGTGGCACTGTTCACCACGAAGGGAGTGTCAGCCGCAACGCCCGTCAGTTTGTACTCCAGGCGCGAGTTCTCGCCGTAGTCGGCGTCCACGGCCTGAATGTGGATGACGGAGTGGCCGAGGGGGGCGTTCTCCAGGACGGAGATCTGGAAGGGGGTGCTCACGAAGATGGGGGCATGGTCATTGATGTCCACCACCTGGATGCTGGCCATGCCCGTGTTGTTGGACAGCGGGGGGCGGCCCGCATCCTGAGCCCGGATCCTCAGGGCATATTCACGCTCCACCTCAAAATCCAGGGGAGCCACCACCTGTATCTCCCCCGTGACGCTGTCAATGGAGAACTGGCCCCGGCTGTTGCCGCTGATGATGTTGTAGTGGACGAGGGCGTTGTTGTCCTTGTCCAGGTCGGTGGCGGTGACGCGCAGGATCTCCGTGTGGGGCCGGACGTCCTCCCTCACCTGGACGATGTAGCGCTTCTCGCTGAACTGCGGCGTGTTGTCGTTCTCGTCGAGGACCGTGATGTAGACCCTGACTGTGGCCGAGCGCGGCCCCGGCTCCCTGCCCTGGTCGCTGGCCTCCACCACCAGGGAATACCTCTCCATCTGCTCGCGGTCCACGGGCCCGCTGGTGGTGATGAGGCCGGAGCGCGGGTCGATCTCGAAGGCGGCGTGGGCGGCGCGCTCGTTGACGAAGCGGTAGCGGATGTTGGCGTTGGGCGGCGAGTCGACGTCGGTGGCGCGCAGCTGCAGGATGGGGTAGCCCTCCTCCACGTTCTCCCGGATGGTCTCCCGGTACTCGCCCTGCTCGAAGACAGGGTCGTGGTCGTTGCGGTCGGCCACGGCGATGGCCACCATGGTGGTGGCGGAGAGGCGCGGCGTGCCGTGGTCGGTGGCGGTCACGCGGAAGTAGTGCAGCTCCATGCTCTCGCGGTCGAGGGCCTGCGTGGTGCTGATGAGGCCGGCGCGCGGGTCGATGCTGAAGAGCTCGCGCGAGCGGCTGTTCATGAGCGCGTCCATGGAGTAGACGAGGCGGCCCGCGTCGCCGCCGTCGGGGTCCTGCGCCGCCACCGCCAGCACCGCCGTGCCCGCCGGCTGGTTCTCCGCCACCTCCGCCTGGTAGTTGTACTGCGGGAAGAGCGGGTGCCGGTTGGGGGCGGCCCGCCGCGCCCGCCCGCCTGCGCCCGCCACCGTGCCCGGTCCCGGTGCTGTTCCCAGTGCTGTTCCCACTGGTGGCACCGTTGCTGTTGCCAGTGCCGTTCCTGGTACTGCTCCCACTGGTGGCACTATCGCCGTTCCTGCTGCGGGCAGTGTCCACGGTGCTGTTCCCGGTACTGTTCCCACTGGTCGAGCCGTTCCCATTCCCATCGCCGTTCCCGGTGCTGTCCCCACTGGTGGTGCCGTTCCCGTTCCCGGTGCTGTCCCCACTGGCGGCGCTGCTCCCGGTGCTGTTCCCACTGGTGGCACCATTGCCAGTGCTGTTTGCGGTGCTGTTCCCACTAGCGGCACCGCTCCCGCTGCCGTTCCCGCCGGTGGCGCCGCTCCCGTGGCCGCTCCCGTGGCCGCTCCCGCTGCCGTTCCCGCTGCCGTTCCCGCTGCCGTTGCCGCTGCCGGCAGCGGCGGGCGGGCGGCGGGCGGGCGGCAGGGAGCGGCTGCCCCGGGGCTGCGGGCGGCCGAGTGG